GAGGGATAGTAGATTCGTCTCTCTAATCTTTATAGCATTTTAAATCTCTCTCTCTCTCTAATCTCTCTCTCTCTCTCTCTCTCTCTCTCTCTCTCTCTCTCTCTCTCACTGAAAATCAAACAAAGAACCTCCCACTTGCCAGGCAGGCACTGTGCCACTGAGATACATCCCCAGCCCTTTATACATTTTTTAAAAAATGTATTTAGTACATGGTGTTCAGGGTCTCACTACACAGATCAGACTCGTGGTGATCTTCCTGTTTCCTCCCAAGTGCTGGGATTACAGGTGTGCACCACCATGCCCAGTCTCAATTGCTGTCTCAGCTAGGGGCTGAGATAAACTCCTGGGGGCTGGACCAAACTCCTGGTCCCTATGCCTGTCTAAAGAGGTGCTTTAGTCTGCTGAGCTATCTGGCTGGCCCTTTATACATTGTTTTTATTAGAAGAGTTTTCCTGAAAACTAGGAATTCAAATATCTATTCCCTTTTCTTTAAACATTTTGTTTTATAGTTTATTTATTTATTATTTAATGTATTTGGTACAGGGTCTCACTTTGCAGCTCCAACTTGTACTGATCCCCCTGTTTTCAGTCTCCCCAGTGCTGGGATTACAGGTGTGTGCCAACACAGCCGGGCTTGTTTTGTAGTTTATGTTTGTTTGGTTTTGAGGCAGGGTCTTTCTTGCTATTGAACGACCTTGACCTTACTATGTAACCCAGGCTGACCTTGAACATGTGGTGATCCTCCTGCCTCAGCCTCCTGAGTGCTGGGATTACAAGCATCCTCCTGCCTCAGCCTGCTCGAATGCTGGGCTTATAGGCATGGACCAGCACACAAACTTTCTATTTCTACCTCAACACTTACTACTTACCCATAGGCACATCTGATTAGGTATGTTCTGGAAGGTATTTAGAATATAAACAGTATGTGGGATAAAAATTTCTTTGAAAGGTTAAGGGTATGTGGCCATGGTGGTACATGCATCTATAGTCCCAGCTCTCCTCGCTACTTTGGGAGGTTAAGGTGGGAGAATCTCTGGAGTTTGAGCCTAACCTGGGCAACATAGGGAGATTTTGCCTTCAACAATCAAACAAACAAAAGCCAACAAACTTTAAAGATCATTGCTGATGTGTGAGGAAAAAAGTAGTTGATACTTGCCTTTCTAGTAATATTTTGCAATTTTTCTCTAGAAATATATCTGTATCTACTATGTTATCTATCTCTGTGTGACAAATCACTCCAAAGCTTTGTGGCTCAAATTGTGAACACTGATCACCTCACTGTTGGCAGGCAACTACAATTTAGGAGCTGCTGGGTGGGTTGTGTGATTCACTCTGATGTTTTACAAATGACATTAGGTCACTGGACATCATCCTGGGGCTGATGGTCTCCTCCGCAGACAGCTCACTGTCACGCTGTGGGCAGGATGCCTCAGCTCCTGGCTGGCACTTTTGCCTTGTGGGCTTTTCACCGCATCTCTAGCTTATCCTCTTGGTGTGGGGGCTGGTTCCCCCAGAGGGAGCTGGCCAAGGACCCGTGCAGAAGACAACTTCTTCTTATAACCTAGTCTTGGTAGTTGTATATTCACCAAGGGTCCATCACTAGTCCCGGGAGAGCATCGAACGTGCTTCCAGGGTCTGCTTCTTAATGAGGGAAGTAATGAAAAAATGTGTCTGGCAAATTTGTGCGCATAATCTCCACCGAAGCCATCAGAGCTAATCTATAGATGAGTAGATTAGGTGACGGTCTCTACATCACTTATATAGGTCTAAATGTCTCGTTGCTCTTGTTATGAGGTTACTTTTAATGACCACAAAATAAGCCAAGATTGCCAGACTGTCCTACATCTCTTCTCCTCTGATACTATTGTTTATATTTTTTTTTGTCTCTGCTTACTGACCATAGTGGTTGACAGATTTATATATTTTATATATATTTATAAAATTTTATTATTATAAAATATTACATGTCATAGTAGAGATACAAGACAAAAATCAAAATTAAGAAATAATATTCAAAAAAGAAAATATCTCCAGGATTTTTTTTAAAAGAAGGTTAATATCTATTTCAACAGAATGGGCAACACAGCTTGGAAAAACTAATGGTTTACTCTTCAGTATATTTATGTACTAACAAAAGAGGAAATAGAATACAATTTGAAGCTCAATCCAAGAGGCTCAACAATTCAATTTAGGAAAGATAGCACTGAAAATATTTTGGGGGAAGATGTGAAGCTAGCTTCTCTAATCCAGATAGACATGGTTCTAGAAGACAGCCCAAGAAATGCAGAAGTTTCATGCTGAGGTTGTTCCTGAATATGAAAATAGTCTAATAGTTTCTGGAGAATGTAATCGTGTCATGTACAAGAGTGGGACACAAGAATCATGGAAGGTTTCTCAAGAAAATAGAGGAAAACTTCCTTCCATCTTCAAGGAAAG